TCCCATATTCGTGTGAAAATGTCGGTATTTATTTAGATTTCTTTTATCCACTTGCCACTCACTTAGCGTTGTTTTCATTGAGGTTTTCTGCCCTTTTGTCTCTTCGTGTTATTCTCAAAGCATCGCGCGATTGTCAATATTCCGATTACTAGATCATTTGGAAAGAATTGGGAATCTATGAATGTAAATTGCTTGATTATCAAAACGTTCATTTGAAGGTGGAAGTTGATAGACATTGCGTTTACCTGCTGTTCATATATTATTTTCTTACTGATCAGTCATGGTAATTTATCGAGGGTAGGAAATGGAATAAGGATTATTTAAGGCAAGAAAATGCACATGTTCAATGGGATTTGTGTAGTGAAGGAAATGTTAAGAATAAATTAGCCAATACATTTACCTAGAGGTATTTCAGATTTATACTGCATGAGAGAAGATATCGGTTAACCTGTGTGTATTCCACTGCCGGTCACCCATTCGATGCAACTTAGTCTACTAGAATGGCTGTTATTTCAGAATCCTTGTAGGGGACATTGTAGGATAATTTTTCGATACATTGCGGAACATTGTGGGATAATTTTGTTTCGGCGAATGGAGGGGGGGATTTAAGTACCTAAAACGTTTTTTTGGGTGCTTCAAGACACGTACCATTGTGATGTGCTGTAAATTACTCTATCGCGTTGCCGGCACATTATGTATCGTTACGACTTGATTAATCGTATTGACATTCGGTAACGTAATTTTGTTGTGAAACATACTAGGCAAAGTATTTGTATCGAATGTCATGAAATACCTATGTTCGAAAATAAACGACCCCGACAAATGTATTATGTTTAACATTTATTTTTATTCCTATTGTTTCCATTTGTTCTCATTGTCCCGTTTCAAATATGAAAATATTCAGCGAAGGCGTCACGCGTCTCTAGAGCTACTGTTCTTGCAAAATAATTGTTAGACGTTTCGTGGGTCACGTAAAGAATCCTCTTCGTTCTGCTGCCTATTGTAATTGGATCTTCGCTCTATTATTGACAGATTAATTAATAATAAACATCAGTTAGTAGATGGACAATTCTACATTTCAATCATAGAAGTAGAACGTGCAAATATCTCTCGTCTCGTTACTACGGCTGTGAGAAAGAGCTAAGTTCTGAGAAAACAGGATGTTGCGCTACTAAGCAAGGACGTTCCAATCAGCATGTTTTGCGATTACTAAGAATCGTTTGTATTTACGCTGTCTCAGCAATATCTAAATGCATCAGAAACATCCGCTCCTAAGCAAGGTCGTATGTTAATCAGTATGTTTTTTTTCCACACGCTGGTCAAAGATCATGTCCATGATACTCAACCGATAGTTTTTATAGTTCACAAATAATACAATAATGTTCATGTATGCTAGTAATTGTTTAAATAAATTTTTTAATCATGTCAATTCTCAAGGGTGGCAGTCTCATCTGGAACAGTCCTCAGTGTGAGGATTCACCCCCTCAATCCCACTCTATTACCCAACCTTTCATTTGACCTGTAAATCAGGCAGGGGTAGATCCAAGGAGGGGCCACGGAGGTTGTGCCCATACACGCACCCTCACCCCCAAAATCAATATTGTTTGAACGTTACTCAATGCACTCGGAATAATTACCATATGTGCCAATCGTATCACATTCAAAGCAGTATTACCATAATGAATGTACTGTTTTTTTTTTTTTGTTTTTTTTAATTTCAAGCTAATAGAAAAAATGTAATAAATTCTGAAAAATATTGGGGTTCTAAACTGAAATTGCTCTCCCTTCTGAAGTCTTCTCCTCCCGATTGGTGGAGGCGTGTCCTCGCGTGGCGAAGGCCAGATCAGAGTGACGCGATAAAAGACTTTAGCTTTTAGTGACGTGGAGAGAAGTAAATGGGAAAATCAATGCATTTGACCTCTGTAAAACACATTGCGCTTTGATGTTAATCGACGAAGTGACCACAATCAGTGTAGTAATAATTATGCGCACGAAATGGTAAACATAATATTTAATGCTTACATTGTAAATTGCATGAATAGAAGCAGCAAACTTTCGGTTTCTCTGATCTGCACACGGAGAAAGGGTTTCTGATAACTTGACTGTTTGCCTTTTTTAAAAAAGGAATTCAGTGGTGTCAAGGTCGCGCTCGTGTGGCAGTAGTAGTTGTGGCCAGGTATTAGCACCTATCCCACTCCGGTGGCATTGCAAAAGGTTATCAGCGCAACTGGCGTCGCGATAGGAAACTTTCAAAAGTATGCGAGTTTAGTTTTCCTAGCGGTTTTCCTAGATGGCGCTAAGATGGCAGCAGCGTGTTCGTTAAGATAAATGTTTTTTCCTGATAGAATATTTCTCCGTGTCAGTGTTTTGGTACTCGTGTGAAATGTTTCCTCTGTGATCAATAAATTCAAATAAAGAAGTAAAACATAAGGCTGGCTTTACACTTGCAAGAACATGGCGAGCATTATTATTTCGCAAGAAAACTTGCCAATGTAAACATTGCGGCAATAAATATTTCTGATGTTAGCAATATTTCTTGCTAGATATTCCGGTCGTAATGTAAACTCGTGTGTTTCCATCCTTGAAAAGATATTGCCGGCTGTTGCTGGAACTAGAATTGGATTGAAGTCTGACCAAGATATTGCTCGAAGAAGCCAATGATAAGCACGGTCATATGCGGAGGAAGTACGTACGATAGTTCATAGATGTAATATTTCCATTTTAATACGATTTTTGTCGTAAAATGGGTGTGTGAAAAAGGTGTAAGACAATAAACGAAATAGTAATAAATAATCCCTCTGTGGTTGATTATCAAAGGTTCATATTTTGGTTCAGTTATAGATGCCCCGTGATTGTTATTTTTTACGCTAAAAACTATTAAGATATTAATCTAATCTAAATCAATTTTAAGATTAATCTATAATACATCATCAGTAGATAATAGATATTTTAAAACTTTTTACCGAATTAGTAAATGCACTTTTCACTAAAAGAAAATTACTTTGCTTCCACGAGAATCGAAATCCACAAAATTATTTTGTTTTATGAAAAATATTGAGACATGTCTACCTAATTCGCAGAAGCCCCGTTTTCCTTTCATAAAATTCAGTCACAGGTCCTCACAAATCGACGGCGTTAGTTCATCTCCTCATTTAGCACAATAAGTGCGACCGCTCACTTAATTCCATGCGCCATTTTCCTCCGCTGTCACCAAACACGGCAACAAATAGTTCTAATGTAAAACGATCAGCAATATCTTGCCGGAAGGATCTTGCTCAGATCTTCCTTACAATACATTGCCTCTCCATGCTCTTGCTAGTGTAAAGATGACCGCAGGAAGCAGAGACAAATTGCGGAAAGGTATTGCTAATGTAAGTCCAGCTTAAAAAATACTATTACATGAACACTAGAATAATATGAATGGTCACATCTGCCTTGAATTTATTGACTTACTGGGATCACATCTGAAAAGGAGATATGTGTACATAAAACTAAAACTAAAAATGGAAATAAAAATAATTACAAACGTATTTTTCAAACCCCTGTCTTACGGTGTTAGTTTTTTTCACTGATGTTCTCTTGTGGCAAGGAGATCAGTTGCGGAATGAGAGGAGAGGAGATTACGTTGCGCCATTAGAGTCATCTAATGTAGGGTGACCAGTGGCTCCGTTTTTAAGGGGACGTCTCTTATTTACCATTTGTTCCCATTGTCCAGAAGAAGTGTTAAAAGGAACACAATTTTTGTATTTAGCCCCTTTTTATTACTCGTTCCTTTCGAACAATCAGTTCCCATGTGTTGTGTTTTCTACTGGATTGCAAAGGTATCAACGGGATCAGCGAACGGGAAATATTCTGAAGGCAAATGGTGTTAACTTTTTTGTCAATGATTATTGTGAAGATACACTTTAGCGATTAATAATGTTTTGAATTTCAAGGTAATATTGCCAATAATGTATCACATCTACGAGTAGTAATATCTTTAAATAATTAATTGTAATTTCTTCAAATAATTGTAATACATTTAAACCTATAGACTTATTTTCTTTTTAATCATCCTATTAATTAAATTGATTTTAATTGTGTGATTTTCTTCTCGTATCAATCTGCAATGTTGGATTTTGTGCTGAGAATATGTTCCATTTTATACCGACTTTTGAAAATGACACTCTAACTCCATGACCCTTTCTTTGGTTTTAAAGATGCCACTCTAACCCATTCCCACATGTGGCAACAACCTTGACATCAACGCCTGAAACAAAGAGTGGAGAGTGGATTTCAGAGCTTTGTAGGGAATGTTAGGCTTACTAGAAAGAGATTTAACGTAGAATCGTCCAAAGTACGATAAATGTTTGACTCTTCTGTCATGGGAAACTGCAGATCAAATATTTACATTCTAGCACACAGGATGTATTCAGGCAAGAATCTTTAAGAGAGAATGTAAAAAATTAAATTGTTTGAAAGTGACTCCATTTTATTAGCTTGTTTCATATCCAATTCAGCTCTTTATTTTTCAGGAAGTGTATTATTTAATGCACAATATGCACATGCGCTCCGTAGATGTTTAGATGGTATTGTGACGTGCATTGCGTGTGATCTGATTGTGAGTGGTTTCCCCTAACCGTGTGTGGTTTTTCGAGAGCTGGAGGGAATAAAAGAAATACGTAATTTAGTTGAATACATTAACAAGAAAATTGCGAATTAATGAGGCACATTTTGCGTGACAAAAATTTAATGAAAATTATAATTGAGGAAAAAATAGAAGGTGCGATAAGTAGGGGAATGAAAAGTGGTAGGAAGTTGACTGTCATTAGAACATGAATGTGCTCAAAGACTTTGATATGTGAAGGCGGCTAAGGGCCAAAAGGCTGCTAACAAGAGTAACGAGGTGGAAAATGCTGAGACCTGACCTTGTCACAGATTTATGGATGTAAAGATATGTTGTATTATTATAGAGAGCGTGATGCGGGCGAATGATTCCTTGCGGCGTGTCCTGAACTCACCGCGCGCACTGGCACAGGCTCGCGCGCCAGCCGGCTGATGAGCAGCACGCACGACACGATGATAACGCTGCTGAAGGCGACAAGCGCCAGGCACGCGTGCACCACGTCCGTCTCGGGAATCACCCGGAACGGGTCCACCACCAGCCCCACGTTCAGGATGCCGAACACCTGTAACACGCAGCACACACTCCGTTACCCGCTGGCGGTAGACTAGCATGCTGCATCGCGAACAACGTACGAGGCGACATCGATGTTTCTTAGAACCTGTTTTGTAGTGTGCTGTTCATTGATTTTCACGCAGGAGGGAGGTCGTTTGACAATGGTCATGCTTGCTCATTTATAATGGATATTTAAGTGACAAAAAGAAACTAGTAGTGCTACTGAATTGCACAGGCTTTCCAGTATTAGTTTTCTATTTCCTTTGGTCTCGGCCAGCTATTCGAACTTGCCACATACTTTTCCAGCTGCCATTTATCGCTGCCAAAATTAAGTTTTTTGACATTTTCTTAATTTTTTGGTTTCCTAACAGTAAAACGAAAATATTATTTGAAGAAGTTTAAAGAAAAGTAAAATCTCGCCCTAAATGGCCGTTTTGAAAAATTTGGAGCCGTTTTAAAGAAAATAGTATTTAAGCGCTGTTGTAAATTCGAAATTTAAAGCTCTTTTTGTCAGAAAATTTTTGAGTTTTCGAAAAACACCATTAGAAGTCATTTGAAGCACAGTAACTCACAAATACAGCAGTGGTTTACAAATTGCTGGAAAATGGCATATTAACGGCGTTCGAGATATTAAAAAAATACATTACAAACAATTACACTGAAATGAACTTTGCGTCGTATTAAAAAGTACAATTAGCCCTATCCGTTCGAAAAGTTTGAAGAAGTAATATTGGAGCCATTTAAGAGAAAATGGCGTTTGAGCGTTTCTGAAAATGCGTAATTTTGAGCTAGTTTTCTGAGGTTTGGTTGAGTTTTCGAGAAACTTTATATGATTATTTAAAGCACATGTTCTCATAAATACAATAATATGAACAAGTTGCTACCAATATAAATATAAACGATGTAAGCGACAGGTCAAACGAAATATATTTTTGTAATTTAAAAAAACAACAAAAGAATAGAGCAACATGGCGTCTTTTATCTAATAGAGTACATTTAGCATTATCCTTACCAAAAGATTGAAGAAAAAGTTAGGAGCCGTTTCTCGGAAAATCGTGTTCTAGTTATTTTCTGTTTAAATTGCATGTATTGCATGCAGTATTGCGCGAATACCGCAACAATTTTCAGAAAAAGTACCTCATACCTTCAATGAAAGAACTCACTGTGGAGACACCGCCAAGAATTCAAACTCTTGCAATTTTCGAAAATTCAGAGTTAACTGAGAAAATTAGTCCTAAGTCACTTTTATAAGTGTATTTTTTCTCTATTCTTAAAAGAAATTTTTTAGAAAATTGGAGCCGTTTTTGAGAAAATTTTGTAAATGTCCGTGGGGCTTCATGTAATCCCCAAATTTTGAATAAAGTTTTTCAAAATCGCGCGCCTTGAATGGAGCCAGATCGGCCGTGGAATACCTATTTTGAAAAAAAAATCGTAAATTTGGTACGGGCGCTAGTGTTTATAGACAGACGAATGGACAGACGGACGGACGCCGTTACAAAACAACTCTCTTTCGGTATCAGGGGACTCCAAAACGTGTATTTCCGCTGAAATCTCGAAATCCATTAACCGCAGCATTACATAGCTTTCTTTATGCTACGTATATTACTCTATATATACGTATGTTACTTCTTATGTACATATATTACTCATTATATACTTATATTAACTTCTTATATACGTATGCGTACGGGAAAGTAAAAATCAATCAATTAACTTATTTTTTCATCCTTGGTCACTTCAGTTTGTAGAATGTTCAATTTACGGAATCTGAAATTTTTTTATTATGATAACTTTTTCTTTCAAAAATAAAACATTGACGAATTAAAACCGTCGAATCAAGATATTGATGCCTTCACGATTCATCGTTTTTAATTTAATACATCGTTTATTAATAAAAACGTCGGTGTTTTCAAAACAAGTCGCAACCCTACTAGTCTGGCAACTGAATGCTCAAAAATGAATAAATAAATTCAAATGAACCCGTAAAAGCATTCTTCATTTTGTGCATTGTTTTAAATGTGAAAATAGCTTCAAATTGAAATTCTGCTTTGAAAAATATGCTTAAATTGGAAAATGACTATAACCCATTAAATTGGAAAATGGCTCTAGATAAGTGAACCCCTCTGAAAAAATCCAATTTCGAAAACCGTTCGAAAATTTCAGCCTTTATTAATTAAATATAATTTTTTGGTCATTCATTCTGACCTTGAACTTGAACGTTTTGGAATTGCTATTTAATTTCTTTATATAAAAAAGCAATTAATCAGATATAAATTGATTGAATCACAAAATTTTAAAAGTGCTAATGATAATTGAAGGGTCCATTTTCCTGATACCCGCATGGTTCCTAACACTATTCTGAATAAATGGTACGCATGTGTAAAATTTTAATATGTTCTATATGTTATTCGAATTCCTGTGAACAATAAACTATTTCATTATTAAGAACAGATTAATTGTTTTTTCGGAAATAGCTATGGAAATTATAGAGACGAAATTTTACATGGACATAATTTGCGTGGCAATTTTGAAACCGAAACAAAACTTTCAATGACTACTACTATCTTTTTTTAGTACGTGTGAAATGGGAAACGAGGAAAGTAAATGTTAAATCAAGAACGGAATAAACATATTAATTGTTCATTCAACGTTTAATTATTTAAAATTCGACCAAAAGTAATTGAGATTGTATAACAGAAAGTTTTCAGAAGATAATTTCCTTTGTTCTTTCTCATGTATGATGTTCCATACGTCTACAACGTTGCTTAGGTAACCAACAGGAAATCAATCGATTTCTCGTGCAGGCACAAGTTTCGTCAATGCAGCTACAAAACGATACATTTTCAAGCTGAAATCAATTCTGTAGAAGAGCTAGATTGGATGTTCTTCCCGGTTTGAGTCAGGTAATTTAGATGTATCTGGCATATGCGCTATAATCAGAATTTTGTTGTTTTTTTACACCTATTCCACTGTATTTTGGTACTTGTTTGTATTAAAATATTAAAGGTTTTTACTGTACTGTTGCGTTATCTGCCTAATAACAAATTCTATATTAGATGTCCCACATGTACTTTTTGACTCTAGTTTTAATTCGCTGTTTATGTTAATAATTCTGATGTTATGAAAGTATTCTTCTGTCATCAATTTATCTGCGTACATTTTTTGTACAAATTTCTTAATCAAAATTAAAATTTTACATTAATCATTTTAGACTTGAGAAGTCTTACTAAACCTGAAGCTGCATCATAATACTGTTGAGAGATCTCAGTGAGGATTCTTGAATATTTCCTTGTGGAATTGTATATTTTACAGTCGGTCTCAAAATAGATGTCTAAGAACAAACTCTTCTCATTACGTCTCCGAATGTTGTTTCTGAGAATTTTTTTTTTTTCGCCTCACTAGTAATTCATATCTTAAGTTTTAATAGCTTGTGAAATTATTATCACGCTCCCATGTCTTATGCCGCACTATGGCGTGACTTAGGTAATGCGTCATATATTCCGGCAAGGTGAATCACTCGTAAGAATGGTGATTCAGGACTTTGAATGCAACGTAACATACAAACATCAAAATGAGTCATAAGATCTGCTTCAAATTTTTCAATAGTCTTCACAAGTTTTAAATTAATAGCACGTTTTATTACGAACACTTGTAGTTCAAATCGTGTCTTGAATGTTTGAATCGAAAATATGATTCAAATATGTGATTGAGTCCATTAATGCTGTGCTCCAGGCGAGATAATAATTTTACGCTAAACGATGTAATCAGTGACGTTTCCGTGAGTGGGGGAAGGCTCATTAGGCTCCCTACAAAAGCCAATTAAAAAAAATTACATTTACAACAATAGTACAACAGTTGATTGACCGAGTAGCTTTGTATCAGCGAAGTATGAAGGGGGTTACTTCTTGTCACCTCCCTGATTTTGATTTTCTTAGGTTATACTTTCAATTAAGGTTATTGCGAGGAAAATTCGTTAGAGAGCGAAAAACGGGTTTAGAAAGGAATACGATGGGAGAAAAAAGTGAATAGAAGAATCAAAAGCCAATAGCGTGTATTAAACAAATATAGATTGTACTAATTTTCTGTTTTAACGAAAGTATTTCATTATAGCAACTGTTTACGTTATAAATATTAAATATAAGTCAATAACGAAAAATACATTTTATATTCATAATCTTCGTAACAAAATAATAAGTCGGCTGGACACCAGATCTGTATGCCTCTCAAAGGAAAAAAATTGTCTGTGCTACTTAATGATCACTGTTTCTTTAGGTTATACATTTTCACATTATAAATTTTACGGTTACACCCATTGAGTAATATGATGTGTGTATCGAGTCTATGCATCAAAAGGAGAAATAAAAGGTTCCTTGTAAATATTTCTCCGCATGTTATTTCTTTCGAATGATTAAATTTTCAGATGTGTAACATATTTATTAATTATTTGTCAAAGGTATAAACACTTGTAAAAAGTTATTGTTATTAGCTATAGATAGCAACATATTCATATTCCTCATTGAATTCATTATCAACATATTATTCTTAACTGAGTTCATATTAATTTCGGAATGTAGAATATTGACAAGAATTTAGGCAAAAACTCGTGGAGTATTACTGCAAGTAGAATGGCTTGCGCAGATTCTATAATTCGTCACGTGTTCATTATTTATCGATAGTCCATTAAATGCGTAACTGTGTTGAATAGGTTCCGGAAACCAGCTTACCGATAAATTAATTTTGAGAGAAGCGATGGGTTATTCAGATCCCAATCCGCAATGAAGCATGGACGCTAGAGAAGGCTCTTCTTCTTTGCCACGCTGAAGCAATGGGGCTAACTGGCGGGGAGGGTGTTTGACCGAATTAGCCTCCAGGCGTCGCGTCTCCTCCATGCAATTGACCCTGCTTGGCTCTGGGTACAAAGCTTGCAAATCGGGATACAACGAGATTCAAACGGCACCGACCTCTGTGGAGGATTTGCAGGAATCGGCAACGCGGTAGTTTTTCTAACGA